GAAACCGGGATAAGCTCCGGCCTGATGGGCCACTTGGCTCGTATACAGACTTTACCTTTTACCCTACCATGTATTTATTAATTCTTTATTTTTTCCCGTTTCACACGTTTCAAGTGAAAAGACAAATTCAGACCGTACTCGAGTGTTGTTTACAAATTTACTGCATCTTGTACATAGTTACCCACTGGTTTTGGTAATCATTCCTGTAAGCACCTTTAACATGACATGACTCTAGCGTGACGCGGGTCCAGCAATATGGCGTGACACTAACGTTACCAAGTACCTATAGTTTGATTCATTCAGTATACCTTACCTTGTCTGTAGTTTGTCCTTGTTCTCTGTAGTACGGGAAGTTTATTCCATCGTTACTGTAGTGCAGTTTGTACTTGGTTACCCACTGGTTTGAATACCTATTCCTTCCTTGAGTTGCTACTCGTGTTACAATGTGCTTGCTACGCAGATCAACTTGAAGCCATTGATTGACATCATTTTGTGAAAGGAAGCCAAACGTTAACGTCGTATTTGTAGAATGTCAAGAAGCCCTCGGCATGGTGACCGGTGGGATCTTCGTCAGACAAATAAGTCCCTCTTCACAATGGAATAACGGGCATGCCGCCGTACAAGGAAGGCTGCATTTTAAGGCCACTGGACACAAAGCAGGAGCTTGGTGTGCTGGACGAAATAGCAAAAGCACTGGCTAAACTGGTCCGCGACGGAACTGAGGAGAATTTTTATTGATTCCTTTAGTGGTTCGAATTTTGTAATACGGACTACGCTGTTTTCTCGTGTCTTAATGTAATATATCAAACACGAGAGACGGTGTTTCATAGGGATATCCAAACACCGAGAAGAGAGTTGAAAATACGACGCGCAGCGGAGTATTTTTGCCGAAATTCGAGGTATTTGGATAGCCAATGAGACACTGTTTCGAGTGTTTGATATATCTTCTCAAATGAAACAAAAACACGGAGAGGTAAAATCGTTAACATCTATGCTAATTAAGGCCGGGTGTACAAATCTCCTTCACAGTTGCGATTTTCTTTGTTTTAACTTGATGAATTATTAATGAGTTTGAGATGCGATCGTTGAACAGCACGCGGATCAGTAGAATCGCGAGAACTGGATGCCAGCGCAAACGGAGACTTGGTAGGGTAGGGAGTGGAGACCGCTAAAATTTTTTTGCACAATACAATTATACAGTTATTGTTTAAGAAGACGAATTTTTACTTTCATGTTTGGAGGACAATTTCCCAAAGTCCGATTTTCAAATATTTTATTTTATCTTGTCAGGAAGGATTGAATATTTTGACGTCTTTGTCAAATAGTGATTTCCTAATTTTTGTTTTTATATCGGAGTGTGTCGAAGGACCACTTAACTGACTAACGATAAACAACTCAATAAGCTTACGGTGATCCAACAATTTTGTCGAAATAACCCCTTTCCCGACACAAATGTCGGTACCATAATGTTCGGCTTTGAAACTGCTGCTTCGTCTCAAATAATCCAATACTGTTTCTTAAGAATGACTTACTAGTGCTAAACTCTTCAAGTTGTAAAAAAAAAGCAGCCTTAAAATCAGATGTTTACTGTGTTATTTAATAATTTAACTTACCATAGTTTTTCAATGCCTCAGGCGACACAAGCCACTGAAGCTCCAAAAAAAGTAGCGAGAAAATCTTCCATTTGTAAGACATCACCTACAGGAAAGAGTATTATTAAAAATGAAATGAAAGTACATTTTCTTCTTCTTGGAAGGAACTGGCGGCCATTTTAGGAGGGACTAACTCGGACATCCTCGCGCCAAACTTGTAGCAGCTGCTTGTGGCGCCGCTGTCAACAAATTGCCGCCAAAACTCTACAACAAGGCCGAAGGCTCAGGAATAAGCTGCGATAGAAAGTTATACTTACATGAACATGAATGGAAAATAAGGGTTGCTTTACAACTTCTTATATGATGAAGAAAAAAATTGAGTTTCCCTGTAAAGGAAATGAATTTTACAGACGCCCGACGATTATTAAACAAACAACAACAAAATAACAAAGTTATGAACTAGCACCTTTGAACAATATTCAACTAATGATGGAGAAATCAATTTCGTTAACAAGTTCTACACTCGAACAAGAAAATAACACTTTGAATGACTTAACTTTGCCTGGTTTACATAACTAACAATTATCATTAATAGAAATTAGCACCTAAAAGGTCCCCTGTAAAGACATATATCAACGACTATAATGGTCAAACTAATTAATTTCAGGGTCAGCATTAATGGCATTAATTGGTGAAGACTGTCTTCGATAACAAAGTTCGAAAACACTAAATTAAGCCGATAGTTATTTGACATCGTATTGCGAGTTGTTTTGAAGCAGTTTAATAAAGTTCCTGGCCCTAAAAGCATTTTATCCAACTTTTCAACCTTGCCGGACAAATTGTTTCTTCGCAATTTGTCACAACTAGGGTTTCAAAGTTTGTTTCAACGAAATATGCGCCTGTTTGGCAAGGCGACGTGAAAAAGGAACAAAATCAGAATACATTATTTGCAAAAATTTCCGACGATATTAATTTCGGACAAAAGAAAGTGTCGGAAAATAAAACCGCCCAAAATTTTTAAGCGTCCGGAATATTTGCAATACAGTATTTCATCACAGTGTCCGAAATTTTTGTCCGAAATTTGTCTGCAATGAGATGAAAAGTTAAACGTCTGAAAAAACAAAAACGTCCGAAATTTTAACGTTCGAAATGTTTTGCAAGCAATGTACACAAACATGGCAACTCAGTACCTCGATCTTGAAGGAACAAGCAATGAAAATACGACTGGCGACGTAATCCTCTTGACCACAGCATCCAAAGGAAAATTAGATGCTTACGTTAATTATTAACTTGTTAGAACAAAATAACTGTAAACTGTATTTTGGGAAGAATTGCTAATTAGTATCGTAAATAATACAACATCTAACATCCGTAAATACGGTATACGTAGTTAATTTGTTAATCTATAGCTGTCAAAAGGAATTGTAACTTAAACTACTTACGTTAAATGGCAATTTAGTATTTGGATTCAAGAGCCATCCGTTTAGTATGCCCCTAGGGGAGCGGGGTAGGGAATTAGTTCTTTTGAATTCTTTTCAGCCGTACTGAAAAAAATGTAAGCAAAAGAAAAATCCCTCACCATAGAACATTTTTGAAGCTAACCGCTATCCACACCACTCACACCCATTGCAGTATTCCTACTTCCAGTTGCGTTGTATTGGTTATATGAGCAGAAAGCCTGTCCCTCTTAGCCGGCGGGGCCTGGCGCGAGGAAATGGTGACTCTGAAGACATATGACCTAAAAGCCAGACTGCTCTTGAACAAAGATTTTCACTCACTCTCCCTTCCCACAATTGATGGTATTTAACATAATTCTGAGATTTCATGTTCATACTTAAAGACCTCATTCGATTTACTCGTTTATTGGTGAGCCGAAAAAATCAGTTTGGATCAAAATCTCGCAAGAACTTTTGTAGTGTATGCTGGCCACCCATGGCTCACAGAGGGAAACGGAGCATGCCGACACTGTGGCATCCACATTGTTGAGGATGTTTTAAGCGGCAGTAGTTATTTTTGATCATAAAGGCAAAAGACCATAAAGATAAAAACTATAATACGTTATGTTGTGTCAGGTTGCATGAAATAATGAAAGCAAATGAGATTTAGCACAGGACTACAGACGTTTTTTTTTAATCGACTACATCTTCAATTACCACTTACGCAATGTACAAGTAGTTTACATTTATTAATGTGGTCATCTAATTAAACCTGTACATAAATGTCACCACTGTGTAAATTTCGTTACACCACATGAACTCTTACGTTACCAAAAACATGTTACATCTGAGCAAATCTGCTGCGTACTTTGACAGTACTTATATCATCAACACCGTAGCATTCCAAAGAGTCGCCGAAACAGAAGAAATCTGGGGCGAGTCTCATCTCGCAGTCACTTGTGAGACTGTTGCTACTGGAAACAAGAAGACTTCTCATCCAGTGAAGTTCACATAAGTGGTTGCAGGAATTCTTCGCCCAAGATTTCTCCTACATGACCTCAAATACCAGTTTTCATACCAATGCCTTTTTGTTCTCGAAAAATATTTACCTGTTCTTGCGTTTACGAAACTAACTGTTCCAAAGACACAGGCAAAACCGAGCCCGCAGTTTACCTCTCGAGGTTGCTAGGCAACTTACGGCATGCTCTCGAATGCTAGAGCTACTCTTTCATTGGATAATACGAAACGGAAACTGTACGAGTGAATCCACCTAGGCTTGCCAAAATGCCGTTGTTCCCACGACTTGATTTGACCGTACCAGTTGAGTGACCTCAAAGCTAATCTTGAGACTATAGACGAACCAGTTTTGGAGCATTTGGACAATTTATTCATAGTTCTACGATAAAAACGTTACAATGAAAAACATTTCATATTTCGTATCGCTGCACTTTAAGAACTTTAGAGTCCTTGATATTACATTTTCCTTCGTGGCGCGACAAGAGATTCAAATTCTACACTATTCACAGAAACCAACAAGACCAAGGAGGAGATTATCTAAGACAGCTCCGCTCTCTCTTTCGTTCGTTTGTACACTTGGGGCAGTACCTGAGGAGAAAATGAAGCAGTCAGTGCTGTAAATATTTGTGATAAAACTAGCGTTCTATCACGAATGCCGTTCTCTTATTATTAGCTAGGATACTATCTATTCTGTTGTAGATAGTGAGTAGCGTAGCAGTGTACGTTTGTGAACAAAATGATGGCCGCCTCTTTGCATTTTTGAAGTTAATGTGAAGAGCATTTAGAAAAAGTTCTGAACGACTAGTAGATTTATGCTAAAGATCTCTCGATTTCTATGGCGCGATAGTTGACTATCACGCGACAGAAATCTCGATCTCATAATCTTATCGTTAATTCACAGGGTCTTCACATTTTTCTGCTGACTACAGAACAAAATTAATATTAACAATATGGCTGCAATGCATAGTGGAGCGTTTTTATTCCAGCCATATTGGTGTTCTTTAACAGTAGGAAGTTTAAAATAATCAAAAAACGTATTTTTTGAAGAAGGAGAACAATATCGCCGCCGTGACGTCATCTGAAAACGCTCTGTAGAGGCTTGGCTTCAAGTTTGAGGAGAGGGAGGGTGGGGGGAGAGAGGATTTGGCAGTGCAAGTATCTCTTACTGTGTGTAGGCATAAAGCCCATGGCCTTATGTAGCCAAGAGAATGAAGAGGCCTGAACGAGGTCTGCAGGCACAGTTTCTTCAATTTAATGTTCAACTTACCATTTGCCTTTGGGTTTTGTTGTGAGTCCCACACACTGAAAGTGGAACCACTCTATTGGGCACTGTCAAATAAACATTAATAAATAGACATTATTAAACAACAACAACAAATTGGGGGCACAACATAAAGGAATTATAAATGTGAAAATAAGTAAATATGTAGAAATTGAACAAATGTTATTTTTGGAAATGAAGATATTTTGGAGATGAAAACACAAAAAAATCTATCATGGAACACCAATAGTTTATATTGCACAAAGGTAGAGAAACACCAAAGAGATAAGAAATGGAAAAGCGATGAAAGGAGGGTAAGAGGGCGAGACATGCAACAACATGCATGGAAAATTATAGCAAACCTCTTCATTGTCACATCCAATCATCTCTCCAAATGAGACCTGGAACAGAAGCAAAAACCTTGATCACAAAAAATTATTGCAGCTAAATTTTCATGTGGTAAAATGTGGTTTAAATATGAAGAGCTGCTTGACTACAAAGACGTTGATAATGATGATGATGATGATACTGTTTACCAATCCGTATGCTGTCCTCATGACCAGTCATCCACATGAATTGGATCATGCATAATATAACATGTGTTTGGCATCAACTTCACAATTTTGCTTCGAGTT